TCAGAAAAATAAAACTAAAGCTAATTGTCTTTCCGCACTAAAATCAAAGAATACTGAAAATTTCAAACTTAATTTTATTAATATTTGCCTCATTAGTCTTTACAGACAACAGGAAGTGAAGTTTGACTTCAGCATCTGAGGTTTAGGGGGTAAAAAGTGACCAGATCCTGTGGACCATCACAGTGTGTTATTTTAATATGAACACATTATTCTTTCCTCTCTGCTTTGGCTGTTTTTACACAACAATGTATTTTAAAGGTTTTTAGGGAAAAAAGTACATATTTGTATTAAATACATTTTAAAACTTATCAAAGAAATGCTTTGGTTAAAATATTTAAAGTTTATTTTTTTATGTTATCATGATAAAAAATAAAGCCATAATCAGGTCAGATGATCTGATCTGTTCTCTGTCTGTCCACAGACTGACAGGCAGCTCTCTGAACTGTAAGTTTCTTGTGTGAATCTCTGACAGACAGTTGCTTCACACTGTGTTTTCCTTCAGGAAAAAAAGTTTGGCAATTTTCTCTCTGAGAATCATCTTTCACTTTCATCACCTATTTTCCAGTTATTATTTTGCTGAATTTTTGACATCACATTCTGCATAAATAAAACCTATTTTCTTTCACGTGTTTAGATATTTACAGTGTCGGCGGTGCAGAACACGCTGCTGAGCGTGTGATTGGCAGCCGCTGTGTCTTTGCCTTATTATGACTTTTTTTCTTCTCTCCTCCTTCTGCATAGAAGGCAGAGAGAGAAATAAGGAGGCATTTTCTAATGAATTGCAGCCAATAAAAAACTTGTCGATTGTTTCCCTTTCTTTTTTTTTCTTCCTTTTTTTGTCTTGTTATAATTTGATCAGTGGAATGCGGACTTTGTTTGAACTTGTGCGGCGCCGGGACAAGAGTGAACAATGTGAGAGTCCTGCACAGTTTACCTGGGGGTAAATTACCTGCTGATTATAGAGGAGCTGCTTCAGCTGCTCTCCTCCTGCACGGGCGCGCAGCGCGTTCACGGAGCGACAGCGCACAGGAGTGCTGCGGGCTCGCACGTGTGTGTGGTGAAGGCAGGGTGTGAGGGTAATATTATTATTAATAATATTAATACTGTTGCCATTATAATTGTACACTTAATAAGTAGTGCAACCAAGGGCGACAGATGGAGCATAACAAAACAAAGCGGTTCGACAGGGGCACTTGTTGGTCTGGAGGGAAAAGGGCAGGTGCTCAAGCACCACCTGACGTCTATCTGTGCACGTCCCTGTTCATTCCTGATCTTATCCATCTTTGTCACTCTCAAAGAGAACCTCAACATCTTCATCTCTGCAACCTCCAGCTCTGCCTCCTGTCTCTTTGTCATTGCCACTGTCTCTAAACCAAACAGCATTGCTGCTCTCACCACCGTCTTGTACACCTTCCTCTTCATTCTTGCTGAAACTCTTTTGTCACACATCACACCTGAAACGTTTCTCCACTCATTCTAAACTGCTTGGACACGTTTCTTCACCTCTGGACTGTCGACCCTAAGTACTTAAAATCCTTCACCTTCTTTATCTCTGTTCCCTGTAACCTCATGTCTCCATTTGGGTCCCTCTCATTCACACTTGTATTCAGTCTTGCTACGACTAACCTTCATTCTGCTCCTCTCCAGGGCAAACCTCCATCTCTAGGTTTTCCTCCACCTGTTCTCTGCTCTCCCCACAGAACACGTCATCTGCAAACATCATAGTCCATGGGGCTTCCTGTCTAACCTCATTTGTCAATCTGTCCATCACCACAGCAAACAAGAAAGGACTCAGAGTTGATCCTTGGTGGAGTCCTACTTCCACCTTAAACTCCTCTGTCACCTCTACAGCACACCTCACCACAGTCTTAATTCTCCAGTACGTGTCCTGCACCACTCTCACATACTTTTCTGTTACTCCAGACTTCCTCATGCAGAACCATAGCTCTTCTCTTGGAACCCTGTCATATGCTTTCACTAGATCTATAAAAACAACACAATTAAGCTCCCTCTGACATTCTTTGTACTTCTCCATCAACATCCACAAAACAAAGACTGCATCGGTGGTACATTTTCTTGGCATGAAACCATACTGCTGTTCACAGATGTCCACTTCTGACCTCAGTCTGGCTTCAACAACTCTTTCCCATAACTTTGTTGAAGGACTCATCAGATTTATACCTCTGTAGTTGCCACAATGTTGGACATCTCCCTTGTTCTTGGGAGATGCCAATTTGTCTCTTTTCTTGCACWTGTATCTGACCCCCTACAGCTTTGAACATGCAGACTTCCCATGCTGCTTGCTTCTCTCAACACTGACTGGTGGTGGGATGGTGTGGGTGTGGCAGAGTGGCGATGGAGTGTCCATCGGTTTGTCCATCTAGTCACCTTATGAGATGATTTAAATCAGTGGTTCCCAAACTTTTTATCTTCTGACCCATACAATATCCACGGCAAAAACTTGTGACCCCAAATATTACTGGCCTGAGTACACAAACTTCATTAATAACCRTAAAAACACAGGCTTTTTGACAATCTAAACAGCTTGTGCATAAATATAAATACTTATTTATACTTACGTATATTGTGTTTTTGTAATAATTATAGGGAAAATATTAGATCAGCAATTATTTTATTAGCCTTTAAATTGATTTCTGGAGATTATCCAAGGTGCTTCATGACCCATAATTGGGTCCCAAGCCCAACTTTGMGAACCAAAGTGCAGTGGTTCCCAAACTTTTCAGCTTCTGACCCACAAAATAACAGTAGAGACCTGAGCCCCCAGCTATTTTTGGATGATAAACATTTGTATCAGGTCAACTAAACATGGGCATAGTAACAATATTTTTATACTACATTTATCCATTTTAAATACACGATCCTCACTCCTTTGTAACAACTAAGGCAAAAATGTAATTAATTCAGAAAATCTTTTCAGGACCCCACCTTGATGTTTCGGGACCCCACTTTGGGAAACGCTGATTTAAATAATGAAGGCCTGTGATGATTCCAACAACACTGCTAACAGTTACACTACTGAACGACAACGGGGGGCGTCGAGTTCGATCTTGGTCAAATTTGCCTTGGGGTGGTGTTATGGTTTCACAGAGGGGTTAGTTACACTTTCATTTCTTTAGCCTAACCCTGACCCCTTAGCTTAAACCTAACTTCACAGGTACGTAACTGACCCTAAACCTAACCTAAACTCAATACACACCTTAGTCCTAACACCAACCCTGATCCACCAATGGCATTTCCCCCCATGGGGACTAGGCTTAGGTCCACATAAGTACTAGTTGGTCTCCACAAGTAGGTGTGTATGCCAAAAATTGTACCCACATAGTAGGGAATACCGCCCCGCACACACACACAAAGAGGAAGTTAAATGGGTTCCATTGTAGAGGTGAAAAACCATTCAGAAACTAAACTGTCCCCATCATCTTGTTCACAAACACTTACCTGCTCCTGAGAGATGACTGTTTTGTTGACAAAATACTGCAGCTGCTCATTGGCAAAGTTGATACACAGCTGCTCAAAGCTGTTCACGTTCAGATTCTGCACACAGAGAAAACGTTGAAGGTATAATCATACAAGGCTGGGACTGTTCGAGACTAGCTGGTGTCTCAAACTGTAAGAAAGTTGCTAGAAAATGTGCAGTTTATTTTATTTTATTGTAGTCTTACTGATTCCTCAGTGTAGTGACCAAGGGACTAGAGAGCGACGCAGACACATTTTGACTTTTTTTAAATGAAGACCTATTTTGTTTGCATGGCATGCAAAACTGTATCATATATCGTGCACATTATTCTGTTGCCCACCTCTGCCCACATCTTTTTTTCAGCTATTTTTGGTCAACTGTAGCACAAAATTGGCTGCACTGACTGACATGAAATTTGGCAGGACTATGAGTCTGACCTACAATAGACCCCATATTTGAGGAAGGGGCTCCATTCAAAGAGGGGGTATCTGGACACGCAAAAATGCTTATAACTCAGAAACTGTTCAACATAGGAGTTTCAGATTTTTTTGTTGTTTAGCTCTGATGAAGCTCTATCCATCAGGTCCACCAATCAGTGCCCCCCCCACCCACACCCCCACTCCCGGACCCCCAATTTATCTGAAAAAGGGGCATCTGGACATAAAAAAAATAGTCATAGCTCAAAAACTATTAAACATAGGAGCTTCAGATTTTCTTTGATTGTTTAGCTCTGATGAGGGGCTATCCATCAGGACAACCAATGCCCCCCCCCCACCCACAAAAAAGACCCCCACCCAAACCACTACAATTTTGGGATGCACCCAGTAGCATGACATACAAAAATGGTTTTTGCTCAAAAACTATTAAACACGGGAGCTTCAGATTTTCGTTGGTTGTTTAGCTCTGATGAGGGGCTATCCATCAGG